TGAACACGTCCTCTGCAAGTGTACACGGTTCCTGTCATCCCAGGCAAGATGGTGGCTTGATCTCCCATTTCAGGGGGTCGGTGGAGGGAACCGTGTTTGACTGTGGGAATCTTATCTTTCAAATGATTACTGAGACGGAACCCAGTCTGGAAGCGACTGTCCATCTTTTTAGAGGTGGTTTTTCAACCTCCTGGGGAAGAGAAAGGTGTGAGGATGAAGGAGGGAGTTATCATTCATCCAATCAGTGAGTACCCACTATGTGCCAGGCCCTGGGGGATACGGAGAAGCAGGTGCAAATTCTGCACTAGCAAAACTCAGCCTTCGGGGGAGGGAGAGGACCACACTTCAGTTGTCTCAAGGCTTAGAGGAGGCAGTGGGGTGGGCAAATGGCCTCACAGGGGGGGGACATCTGATCCGGGTCTTGAGGGTTAAGTAGGAGCACAGTGGGCAGGGATGGGCACATTCTTCTTAGACACAGGAGGATTATTAACCAGAGAGAGCAGTCGCTGTTCCCAAACCACTTGATCAGGGATAACCACTGAAATTGATTTCCTTTTGTGGCTTTAGATAGCATCATTAAAACTCAAGATGTCTCAGTTTGCCCTTCCGCTAAATAGGGAGAGTAGTAACATCAACGACTTAGAACCACTGGGAGGGTGCATTGATCTATGGGGTTTGCAAGAGCAAGTGGTTAGTTATTAGAAAGCCTCTGGGGAACATGGGAGGGAACAGAACAGGGGAGGAGAAGAAGCCAGCGAGAGCCAGAAGAGGTGCACAGGACCGGATTCTCATTAGCTTGAGATGGATTGATCTTCTGTCACTGATTTCCCAAACTCTCAGCAGTTTCAACTTAAAGCTTGTTCAATATTTTAAAACCAATTTAAAACCAATTTTTGAGTTTGCTTTTTTTTGAAAAAAAATTTATTGCATTAATCAAAAAATGCATTAAGTTTTGAGTCAAGCTGCCCAACCCATGGGAAAAGCTGATTGGACCCCGGGAGAAATGACTTGCCAGGATGGAGAGGGTAATAGCAAAGAACAGAAACCAGTCACCTCTAGAGGGAAGAGCAGTGGAGAGCAGCCACGAGTGGCTAAGAGGAAAAAAGTTGCAGGTGAACTGAATGGGAAAGAAGATGTGGAGAGGACCAAGGAGGGTAGTTTGTTGTATTGGCAAAACTCAGACATCCACGAGCATCTAACACCTGCATTTCAAGGGGCCGGGTGAACTTTGGATGGTCAGAGGTTGCATAGCATGGTCCTTTCAGTGGAAGTTCAGAGGCCATCCTCCATGAGATCTCTGCAGATTGAGAGAAATGTAGGGGACAGAAAGGAAGGGGCTCCCTTAAAACCCAGACCCTCAAAAAAAAAAAAAAAACCCAGACCCTCATTCTACTACCAAGTGGACCTGGCCTTAGTGTTGGTGCTGTAGCTTGTTGGGTTCAGCAACCAGGGCTGAAATAAGGAGGCTTTGGAGCCCTGGCAAACTGGTTCACAGAGCATGACCTGGTTATTCTGATTCTTTTCCCTCCACTGCCCTGACCTGCAGGGCTGACTCTCAGGAGCTGTGTCCCCAGGGTGACCCTGGGGCTGGTTTCCCACTGGGAGACAACAGTAAGAGCGCAGAAGGTGGAAGAGAGAAGTCGAGATGTCCACCCACATTCTTGGCCTGCTTGGAGCCCATTTCTGGCAAAGCTGGACCCTCTGTGGTCACTCCTCCTGTCATGAGGCCCCTTTCTCTGCAGCTCCCACTTTGGGGTTCACAGAGCCCCGTTTCCTCCCCTGGCACCTCTGGCCTCGTGAGGTCCCGCTCCCACTGGGCTAGACTCCAGTGGTTTGGTTCTTGTGATCCTACCCCACTGCCGTAGGTCATCCCTCCATTAAGACCCCCTCCATGTGCCCGTCTGAGTCCGGGTCACTTCCCTGTGGAGCCCTAATTGATTCAGAGACTTGGGGAAATGACAGCAAACGCGGCTCTGTGCAGTGGGTGTGGACCCACTGGATACTGTAGACCTTCTGCTTTAGGTCTGTTGGTCGGTTTGGTTTGTTTGTGAGAGGACAGGGGGCTGGCTCTGTCACCAGGGGCTAGAAGTAGGAGGGGGCTCGTCATTGGGAGGTTAGGAGCAGGGCCACCTCGCCCTGGTCTGGACTGGGAACTGCTCTCTATGGATTGCTTGTGCACCCTGTGGTGTTTGATGAAGTGACAGAAGTGCTATGAGAGCGGGGACTTCATCTTGCTCTTTATTTCCAGGGATCAGAACAATGCCCAACATATCAGAGGTGTTTTAATACACATTTGCCCAGTGGAATGATGCCTCTTTCATTATCGACGCTACCATCCCTCAACAAACATCTCTTAGACGTGTATGCACCAGATTCTCCCTTGGCTCGGGGACTAGGGATGGATGGAAGAGGCTGGTTGAAGAGGTCCCTGCCCCAAACCTTTGCCCATGCAGTGTCCACTCCTGGAACGGTCCATCATTCCTAGTCTGCATCCTCTTGATGAGCTCTGAGCCATCTTCCATGACTCGCGGGAAGGGTGATACAGAGGTAGATATTTGCTGTGCTCTGGTTTGGCGTATTGCTGTGATCATTCGCTTCCCTGTGCGGCTCCCATGGCTTCCCTTCAAGCCTCTGCACTCTGCAGGAGAGTCCAGCAGGCTGTGGAACGTGTGCTGATTGACACATCGTAGACACGGCTCCTTCACCAGGGCCATCTGTGCCAGGTCATCTTTCACTTTCTTTTCCCCATTTTTCTAAGTTGAATGTTAAGGTTTTAATGCATTAAAAAGAAAACAAACTTCAACACCCAGGATGGCTGGATCCTCATGAATGAAGAATGAATAGGACTACAGGGACAGTCAGGGGCCTGGACAGGGTAAGGGTGAGGGACACACTCCTCATCTTACTGTTCTGTTTTCAAAGAAATGATGCCAGCATACCACTTCTTGGAAGCCTTGTCTCTGTGGTCTGAAGAGCACATGGTGTTAACTGCTAGACTAATTTTCCAGAACCATAGGCTTTTCTTCCTGGCTGCAGTGACCCCAGGAGAGGGTCTCAATACCACTATCATTCCTGCAGCAAGCACAAGAGCGCTTGCATGTGAATTTCCTTGAGCTAAAATAAATCAAGGAGCATTTACCACTTTACTATGGAAATGACGGCTTTTTCTAAATTCCTTATACGCTCCTGGTCACCAATTTAGAAGCTGATGAGAAGGCCCAATTCACTAATGACATTTACTTAGTTATGCTAATTTTGGATAAACACTTCCACAGAATACCTTATAGGAATAGCTTCTTTATGCTCTGGATTCAGATCACTTAGGTCTTTAATATTCTTTACTATAAAATGAAAATGTGATAGAATTTGTATGTCTGTTTACCAGGATCCTATCAAGGAAATGACTAGAGGATTTATCTGCATGGAGTTAGTGTTTAGACCTTTGTTAACATCTATATTAAGAGAAAAATAATGAGTAAATTCATCAACTGTGCTGAGCCCTTTACTTCTTTCCCCTAAGATTTGGTTGATCATAATTAATAAATTAGACACATTTGCATTTCCCTGAGCCTGGTAAAGCACACTGGAAAGTAAGCCTCAGGAAACACGATATTTACTTAATCAGGACTGGAAGGTACTTTAGCCTAGTTCATGATATTGCTACAGATGCCATCCTTCCACATTCCAGTATCCCTGTACACATAGTCCCTAACTTTCGATGGTTCTGATTTTTCTACCTTATGCAGTAGAAACTGTGCTTGGAATTGTGAACTTTGATCTTTTCCTGGCTAGTGAGATGCTGGACAGCAGAGGTAAGCTACGGCTCCCAGTAAGTCCCCGGATCACCCGTGTCCCAGACGGCAGTGTGCACAGTAATGTGTGGTAGGTGAGATGCGTTCAGGGCGTTTTTGAATTCACACTATTATCAACTTAGAATGTTTATCAGATTCTATCCTCCTCACAAGGGGAGGACCATCTGTACATGTCACTCAGAGTTTTCACCAAAAATGTTCAATGAGTCAGGTATGGTGGCGCACGCCTGTGGGGGCGGTCACACTGAATGAAGGTAGCATTTTCCTTCCTGTGATTGGCAGAGGCTCTGTCGGTCACTTTCGAGTGGTCTGGTCACTTTCGAGTGGTCTGGTCACCTTCGTAGTGGCCCTAGACACTGTCCCACCCTTGAAGTAGCAGAAGGTGTCTTCATGCGTAGGCTTGGCCTCCCACAGCCCCGGGGTGGAATCACCTGTCCTTGTAACCCTGCCCCTCTTGTCTTTTTTTGGATGGAACTTTCTAAAGAATGAGGGTCCCCCCAATAAAAGTTCACTTCTGAATGTGTTAGCCCTCTTTTGTTAGCCTCTAGTGACTTTCCTCGCTCTCCTATTGGGGAGCTTGAGGCCGAGAGCAGAGGAGCCATCCTGGGGCTTGATTTAAAGGTAAATTGCGTGTCTGTGTTTTATTTGATGTCCTAGTAAACTCACTAGAGGGACCTTTAGTTTAGCCGCCCGCGCTGGCCGCGGCAGTATACTCCTGTAAACCCAGTGGCTCAGGAGGCTGAGGCAGGAGGACCATGAGCTCAAGGCCAGCCTCGGCAACTCAGCAAGGCCCTGTCTCTAAGAAAAACTTAAAAAGGGCTGAGGATGTTGCTCAGTGGTTAAGCACCCCTGGATTCAATCGCTGGTACCCCCCCCCCAAAAAAAGACACAAAGGTATTTAAAAAATAGAAGTAGGACCAGTATTAATTTCTGTGATGGATTGTTAAATCGTTTCATCTCCTCTCTCAATACCCCTCTGATCATGGATGTAAGCCCCACCTCTATCTTGTCTTCCTTTGGGGAGAAACGGTCACGGAAGTCCAGATCCCCCAGATGTCGTGGGAAGTCTGCACTGTCCCCTGAGGAGAAGGGCTGTGGACTGGCTGTCTGCTCCTGGGCTTCAGGGAGGAACTCCTAAGGACTGCCCACCAGCGCCTGAGCCCCGGGAGGGACGTGTGGGCTCTGTACCTGTTTAGCTGCTGCCGAGGCTTCAAGCAGGGTGCTGCAGGATCCCTCGTGGTGCTCCTCCTTACAGTCCCGGCAAAAGACGAACTGCAAAAGAACAGTGTGGGTCAGGGGCGTTGCCTCCGCCAGGACGCTCTTCCCCTTTTCCAAACCCATCAGGTGCGTTCCGCTGGCCTTTGTGAGTTTTCTGTGGCACATTAACTTTTTGTTGAATTTGATGGGATCATTCACTCTTTACTAGAATGTTCTGAGCACCTTAACAGGGTTGCAAAGGGGAATGAGTCATGTTTCCTTTCTTCCAGATGTTTCCAGCCCAGTGGAGAAGAAAGTAATGCAAATAAATATTGCAGCAAAGTCCTTGTTAGAAACAAGGAAAGCAAGTTCATCCCAGAGTTTCACATTCAACATTTGTTTATATACCTAGGAGATTCCTGTGCCCATGTCAATGGCTTCCTTTGTATTGAAAGCCTGTTATGAAAAGAAATGGGCTACTACAGCTGAATCCCCGGCCCCCTGCATTCGTATGGTTAATTTTAACCCCCAATTCCTCAGAGTATGACTGCATTTGGAGGCAGACTTCAAAGTGTAGTTAAAATAAAATGAGGTCATCAGGATGGGTCCCTGTGAGGAGATCAGAGCCCGGGACATGGGCTGGGGGTGACCCTGTGAGTATACAAGGCGGTGGCCCTCGGAGCACCAGGAGAGAGGCCTTGGAAGAAACCAATCCTTCTGATGCCCTGGTCTTGAACTTCCGCCTCCAGGTTTATGAAAATAAACGTCTGTTGTCCGAGCCCCGAGGGTGGGACTGGTCTGGCGGCTCAGGCTCAGGAGGCTCGGGCCTGGCGCTGCTTGGCTCTCGCCATCAATGGTGCGCGGAGCTCCTGTCTGTGTCCCTCCCACCCGCCAAGGCACCTAGGGGAGCCCCTGCCCTCACCCTGCATCTTACACAGAAGGACGCAGAGAAAGTGGACTCCTGCTGGGTTCGTGCAAGGCTGTGCCTGTGGGGCTACTGTCTGGGATCCTGGCCTCCATACGGTCTGTCCTATTGTCATTGTCCCCAGCCACCCAAGATTGCTGCCCAGGCTGGGGGTGAGGGTCTGCATGTGATACCCTGGAGATGTCACCCCTCCCTGACACTGAGACACCCTGGGAAAGCCACCAGTGTCTAGGACACCCAGAGAGCTGCAGAGGCTGGGACCCTCAGGCTGGCACCTGTCACATCAGCCAGGCCTTCGGCTCAGGTGTGCGTAAGACGGGACGAATATGAGCAGAAAGATGAAAACGAGACGAACAGGAGGCAGCAAGACCAACTTCATTCCAGAGACGTCCCCGGTCCTCCTTGCTCAGAAAGGGCGGCCCACCAACACGCTTGCCCTTCACGACATCGCCCCACGTGGACACCCTTCTCCCCTGCCCCGTGTCGGGCTTCTTGCTTTAAAAAACCCAACCTGAACATTATTTTGATTTCAAGACATAAGAAGCAGAAAAGGAAGGCGTTTTAGGATGCAACCGTCTCTCTACGGAGAGACGCCACAGTCGATCCTCAGGTACTGAGCATCCCTGACCCCAAATGCTTGGGGCCAGAAGGATTTTGAAATTTGGATTTTTTCCAGTCTTTGGATATTTGTACATACATGATGAGGTGCCTTGGAGATGGGACCCAAGTCAAAACCTGAAAATGATTGTTTTGTATATACCTCGCACATGCACAGAGCCTGAAGGCAACTGTATACACTGTGTTCAGTGAGCCTGTGTTGGGACTGTGGCCTATCGTGTGTGTGGAGTCCACTTGTGGCATGATGTCACTGCTCAAAAAGTTTCAGGTTTTGGAGCATTTTGGAATTCAAGTTAAGGATGCTCAAGCTGCATGTTTTTCCATTTCTCATTAGAGACTGGAGTCGAATGTCGTGGGACATTAACTTTATTTAAAGGTTTGGGGTGGTGGGAGAAGGCATGCGTGGAGATGTCCTTAAGCCCATCACCAGCATGTGAGAAACAGAGAGTCCAGAGGTCCATTTTCAGAATACAGTATTCAGTCTTAAATGTAAAATTAGTGAGAAAGTAAGAAATTCAGCTGAAGGAGAAATAGAACAAATGGCTACCAGCAGTTAACACCCAGGGTGATAGATTCAGTCTCTGTCAAACAGGAGGCCAGGGGGAAGGGGGTCACCTGACCAACAGAGAGAAACTTCCTGTGTGCCAAAATGCACTCAGTCCCCGAAAGTCCTGGGAGGGGACAACTAAAGGTGCACTTCTTTAAATAACCCAGGAGGAGACAGTAACCCCTTAGCACTCAGCCAATGAGGACCTGGGGGAGGGACCTTGTGTTCTAGGGGATCTGATGCTGACTGGGACAGCCAGGTGTGTGCACACACTCATCTTGCAAGATGGTCCTCCTTTTTGCCACACCCAGTCTCTCAGCCATCTCTGGCTTTGGACGGGTGGCGTCATGAGCATCACCAGGTTTCAGTCTTGGACGATTTTTTTTTTTTTAATCAGAACTGAAAGTGAATACAGTGAACAGCGAGCTGGGTCCCAGCCATCCCTCCTGGGTCTCCTTCTGCTCCCGAGGTCATTCCCTCCTAGCTCTCCTTCTGCTCCCAACGTGGATCCCTCCTCGGTCTCCTTCTGCTCCCAGCATCCTGGGTTCGCCTGGGCCCAGCCCTGTGCGCTCTGCTGCAGAGCTGTGCGCTGCGCGGTTCAGTGGGAGGAAGCCGGATGCGATCTCACCACTGTGTGGAGGGAAGGGAGGGGAGCCCAGCCCCCTGCGTGGCGGGAGAGGGCCTCACATCTTATTAGCCAGCGGATGAGACAGAAAATCAGTTTCATGGTGGAGGAACACCCTGGAGGTTGATCAGTTTGTCAGAATAAACAGGCCTCCCTGACACAGAGACACCGAATTCCTTCTCACTGGTGCTGCAAGAAACATCCTAGAAAGAAATAACAGGAAACAAAGAGCGAACAAAAATCAAAGCCTTGCCACTTCAGGGTGGCGAGGGAAGCAAAGCTGCGGGAATGGGCTGGTTTGCTGTACTCTGACGGCAGGATTTAAATCTAGTTCTGTCACATGGTAGGTGCTTCCTGGTTACACATCTTGAATCTGTCTCATACCAGATGGGGAATAACTTCAAGGTCTGATTTGACCTTGAATGTGTTTGGGGTTTTCAGTCACATTATTCAGAACTCAGGACTCTCAACAAGGCGCTGGTATACATGCTTAGGGCTTTAGTTCTCAAACTATGCACCAAGGCACCCTGGGGTGCCATAGTGAACTCACAGGGCTGAACAGAGATATTTTTACAGTTTGTAGGAGGCACAGTGATAATCAATATCCAGTGGACATTGAATTATCCACTTGGGGTCCTCCCTAGTTAGAGTGGAGATGTGTTCTTTCCCTTCAGTGACATTGTCATTGATATTATGACAAATATAAGTACCATGTAAACATCTATTTGGATCAGGGATGTTGTTATTTAAGAATAAAATAAAATAAAATATATGTTTATCTGTTTTAAAAATTGATGTTAACTTTTTTTTCAGATTGTATTAAATTGGTCAGATATTAGATGTCTTACTGTGTGTCTTGGACCTAAATCTTTAAAAACTAGAACTATTAGGTGAGAAAAATCCACAGAGACAGCCTTTGATCTACTCCATGACAAAGGTGTAAATAACATATACTGGAGAAAAGACAGTTTTTTTTTTTTTTAAATAAATGGTGTTGGGGAAACTGGTTATTGCTATGTAGAAGAATGAGACAGACCCTTACTGCTTACCCTGCAAAAGAGTCATCTCAAAATGGATATAAGACCTAGAAATGAGACCAGAACTATGTACTCTCAGAAGAAAACGTGGAGTAGGTTCAACACTCTGGCTTTTGGGCACAGGCAACAACCTTCTCAATAGGGCTCCTAAAGCTCCGGACATAATGCCAAGAGGATGGATGGCATCGATTAAAAAGCTCTGCACAGCAAGAAAACAGTTAAGAATGTGAAGCGAGAACCTCGAGAATGGGAGAAAATCTTTTTTAGCTACTCTTTTGACAGAGGATTAACATTAAGAATATACAAAAAGAATGCAAAAAATTTAACACCACAAAAAAACGAACCCCAAAGAAACTAAACAGACACTTTCTCAAAAGAAGAAATACAAGAGGCCAGAAAATATGTAAAACAATTCAACAGCCTTTGCAGTTAGGGAAATGCAAAGCAAAACTGCACTCCGATTTCATCTCACTCTAGTCAATGTGGCAGCCATCAAGGATACAAATAATAAATGCTGGAGAGGATGTGGGGAGAAAGGAACACTTTACACTGCTGGCGGGATTACAAATTCCCACTACGGGAATCAGTATGGAGGTCACCATCATGTGACCCAACCTTACCACTCCTCAGTATTTATCCTAAAGAATCAAAGTCGGCACACTACCGTGACACGTTCATAGCAGCACAATTCACAAAAACCAAATATGGAGCCAGCCTAGCTGTTCTAGATGAATGGATAAAAAAAAAATGTGATATATGCACACACAATGGAGTTTTATTCAGCTATGAAGAATGCAATTATGTCATTTGCAGGAAAATGCATGAAACCTGAGAGTATTATGTTAAGTGAAATAAGCCAAAACCAGAAAGCCAAGGGTCGCATGTTTCCTCTCATGAGGAAGGTGAGAGGAAAAAGGAACAGAAAGTGTTGAGAGCCACAACAAAGTCAAGATGGCGCCTGGAATTTTGCCAGAAGGAGTGGTTGAGAAGTCACGTCAGCGAGCCATTAAGATGATGTTAATTCAGTTAAGCTGTGTATAATTATTAAGATAATGACTGATTGCTGTAACTGGATGATGCTAAATTGAAACAAGTTGTGTATTCAGTTGTGTATATGGACCTCTGCTGTCTGGCAATAAGGCGGCTCCTGCTGCCTCGGGTGCCTGCTACTTTTGAGTTCTCGTGGAGTTCCCGTTGAGTTCCCATTGGCTCTCTTGGAGTTACCGTGGAGTTCTGGAGAGTTCCCGTTGGGTTCCGGCAATAAAGGAGTTCCTGTTTGAACCTACAAGTGGCCCAGCCAGACTGCGGCAAGAAAGGTGGAGG